CTCAAAAACTATAAGCGGGGGTGACTTATAAGTTGGTGGTGTTTGACAAAATAAGTCACATTTTCACTTTTTAACTTATAAGTAGATGACTTATTTGGAACCAAACAGGCCTTAAAAAGTGAAATAAGTGACTTATTTTACTAAACACCACCAACTTATAAGTCACCCCTTTATAAGAAAATAAGTTGGTTCACTCATGCTTAAAACTTATAAGCCACCCTTTTTCACGTAAAACCCACACATTTTAAGTCATCTACAACCAAATAGACGTGACTTATAAGTCACCGGTTTTCAGTCACCTGACTTAATAAATCACCTGACTTATAGAAACCAAACAGGGCCTGAATGAACATGCATGGAAAAGGAGATGGAGCTAGAAGTAACCTGCCCTACTGTGGTTGCTATGCTACACTAGCATGAATGCACATAGTACCTGCAGCCTTGCAGGCTGCAGCAGGCCAGGCCAGGGATGAGAGATGCCGTTGCTTGCATGGCATCCAGGGATGACATGCCGTTGCTTGCATGCCAACGCCCAACGGACACGGCTGGACGTTCTTGGTTGGCCGTGACTCGTGACTGACAGTCAGGATGGATCAGAAGGAGGCTTCCATTCTGCCGCCGCCCACGGGCGCCTTGATGACCTGTAGGATCTGGACCACCTCCGCCATGGATGGCCGGTTGGACGGGATCTGCGACGTGCACACCATGCCCAGCTTGAGCACCGGCAGCACCTCCTCCTCGGGGACGTGCCCGCCCATGCCCGGGTCCACGCACTCCAGCGCGTTGCCGTGCTCCAGCAGGACGCGCACCTGGTCCATTAGCACCACCACGTCGTCGTCGCCGTACTCCACGGCGCGCCGCCCCGTCACCAGCTCCAGGATCAGCACGCCCAGCCCGTAGATGTCGCACTTCTCGTTCACACGCAGGCTCTGGCACGCCAGCTCCGGCGCCACGTACCCCATCCCGCCGCCCACATGGAACCGGCTACCGACGCCGTCCGCCAGCTTCCCCGGCAGCAGCCGCGCCAGCCCGAAGTCGCCCACCGCCGGGTTGCACTCATCGTCCAGCAGGAAGATGTTGCTCGGCTTCACGTTGTAGTGGACCAGCGGCGGCCGGAACGCCTGGTGCAGGTGCGCCAGCGCCCGGGCCGTCCCGAAAACCACCCGGAACCGCTCCTCCCACGTCATCGGCGGCAACTCCTCACGGCCGTGAAGCCGCGCCTCCAGGCTGCCGTGCGCCGCGTAGTCCGTGATCAGCAGCTGCAGCTGCGGCGTCCAGTAGTAGCCCTTGAGCGGCAGCAGGTTCGGGTGCCGCGCCTTCCCCAGCACGCGCACCTCCCGCTCGAACTCCTCCCGCGACCGCACCGTGTTCGCCGCCACCAGCCTCTTCACCGCCACCACGCGGCCGTCGCCCACGGGAGCGCGGTACACCGTGCCGAACGCGCCACGCCCGATCTCCGTCGCCTTGCTCAGCAGCGCGTCGGCGCCGGCCACCAGGTCCTCCGACCGGAGGCTGCTCCCGGGACCGAACGTCACCATCTTGCCGGCGGCGAGCTTGCCCTTGCCCTTTCCCCCGGGCGGCGGCGACGACGACGACTTGGTCGTCGTGCTGGCGGTGACGATGCTCTCGTCCACCTCCTTCTTCTGGTCGTGGCCAAGGCCACCACCGCCCGCCGCCTCGGCCCGCCGCCGGGCCGACACGTTCAGCAGCGTGATCACGATGACGCCGAGGACGATCGCGACCGCCGCGCAGATGGCCACCATGGCGGACACGCTCAGGAACCGCCGCTTCCTCGGCGCCCCCACGCCGCCGCCGTTCGTCTCCAGGTTGTTGTCGCCGCCGCCGGCCCCGCCGTGCGGGTACTCGTTGGGGTCCAGCACCAGCGGCTTGGGCACGTTCATCCTGCACGGCTCCGCCACCAGCGGGCTGCAGATGCCCAGGTTGCCCTCCAGCGCGCTCGCGTCCAGGCTCTGGAACACGCCCGACGCCGGCAGCCGCCCCACCAGGCGGTTGTGCGAGATGTTCACGGCCAGCAGGTTCTCCAGCCTGCCCAGCTGCGCCGGGATCTCGCCGCTCAGGTTGTTGTACTCCAGCCGTAGGATCTCCAGCTTCTTCAGCTCCGAGATGCCCGCCGGGATCGGCCCCGTCAAGCCGTTGCGCCCCAAGCTCCTGCAGTTCATGCATAAACCACCATGGTCAAACGGACGCGACGTGACGTGTCGTGAACTCGTGATCGTGACACATGCAACGCAACACATCTACACAAGTAGCAACACTTACAGGAGGTACAGGGAAGAACAGTTTCCGATGCTGTCGGGGATGGGGCCGGAGAGGGAGTTGCCGTCGAGCTGGAGCACGGCGAGGCTACCGGACTCGCAGAGGTCGGCGGGCATGGCGCCGTACAGCCCCGTGCTACGCAGGTCGAGCACCGTCAGGTTGCGGAGCAGGCCGAGCTCCGGCGGCAGCGGCGCGCGGAGGTCGTTGCGGGACAGGTTGAGGTATCGGAGCTTGAAGAAGAGCGACATCTCCGTGGGGATGCCACCGGTGAGCTTGTTGCCGGAGAGGTCAAGCCACTGCAGCGTCTCCGCCAGCCTTGTCGAGCCGGACGGCAGGACGCCCGAGAGCGCGTTGGACGACACGTCGAGCGTCTCGAGCCCGACGTCGAACAGAGCGTCCGGGATGCTGCCGCTGAGGCTGTTTCCCCTCAGGTGCAGCTCGGCGAGCTTGGTGCACCCGGACATGGAGGCCGGGACGGCGCCGGAGAGCTGGTTCCTGGACAGGCTCAGGTACTTGAGCGCCTTGAGGTCGCCGAGCGAGTCCGGCAAGCTTCCGGTGAGCGCGTTGTCGGATAAGTCCAGGTGCTGCACCGCGGCCAGCTTGCCGAGCCAAGCGGGGACGTCGCCGGAGAGCCGGTTGCCGGACGCGGAGAAGTAGACGAGCGAGCCGAGCTGGCCGATGGAGTCAGGGAGGTGACCGTCGAACGCGTTGGCGCTGAGGTCAATGGTGCTGAGGTGCGGGCACAGGCCGATGTCCGCGGGGACGGCGCCGGAGAACCGGTTGCCGCTGAGGCTGAGGGTCTTGAGGTTGTGGATCCTAGCAATGCCGTCGGTGACGGGGCCGGAGAACTGGTTGCGGGAGAGGTCGAGCGTGCGCAAGCGCTCGAGCGGCCAGAGCGCGCCCGCGAAGTCGGGCGAGCCGGAGAGCTGGTTGCCGGACACGTTGAGGTGGAGCAGGAGCGGGCTCCCGGCCGCCAGCCCCTCCAGCACGGGGCCGGAGAACTGGTTGCCGGACAGCACGAGGAACCGGAGCGTGCGCGGGAAGGCGGGCGGGAGAGGGCCGGAGAAGGCGTTGCCGGTGAGGTCGAGGTAGCGGAGGGAGGCGAGGCGCGCGACGTCGTCGGGAAGCGGGCCGGAGAAGGCGTTGTAGGAGAGGTCGAGCGAGCGGAGGGAGGCGAGGAGGGAGAGCCCCTGCGGGAGCGCGCCGGAGAGGTTGTTGCGGGCGAGGGAGAGGTCCTGGAGCGCCGGCAGGCGGTCGAGGCCCCGCGGCATGCTGCCGGACAGCGCGAGCCCGTCGAGCGCGAGGCGGAGCACGCGCGAGGTGGCCGGGTCGCACTCCACGCGCGCCCACCCGCAGGGCGTCGCGTCCGACTCCGTCCACGTGGCCAGCGCGCCGGTCGGGTCGGACAGCGCCGACTTGAACACCACCAGCCCTAGCACCTCCTCGTTCACCGTCATCGGCATGTCGGCCTTCGTCGCTGGTGGCGCGCCGCCAATGAGCAGCAGGAGGAGGAAGAGGAGAGCAGGCGGGGGAGGTGGCAGTAGTAGTGGCCATTTCTGCAGGCTGCAGCTGCGGGTGCAGAATGTTTCTGGGACGGGATAGATATGGTGGCGGTGACGATGACGGTGGCTGGCAGTAGATGAGATCTAGTGGCGAGGAGGAGGAGGGGGTAGTGTAGTGGTACCGGCGCCGAGCTGTGTTTTGGGGGTGTGCATGGTGGAGGCATCCATCGGAGGCGGGGAGAGGAGGAAGGGCGCGTCGTTGGATTGGGTTGCCCGTGACTCGCGAGCGGGGGGTAGGTTTGGACAGAAGGAAAGCAACAAAGGACTTCACGTTCTCCGGTCCCGGCCCGGTCCTCGGGTTGGCCATGGCCATGCCACCCCGCCCCCGGCTCTGTGACGCTGGGCGGTGGGGTCGCCGGAGGAATCCATCTCGCCGGAACACGACACCGCACGGCGATTGAGGCGACGACGCGCGCGCGCACAAGCTCGCTACTGGACTACATACACTCTGCAGCTGTGGAAAGGGATTGGTTAAAGAATCATCCGCCGGCCGTTACTAATTTCTATACTCGGCCTTTAATTCGGGCAAAAGCAGCCGCAGAATCACGTCGAAAGCTACTCAACTTTTGTTAATCCTGATCACGGATTCAAAACGTGTGACCGATCGCCCTCGCCCCTCAACTCCAAGTGGGCAGCAGGCACCCATCTGGCCGTCACAGGAGCAGGAGCAGCAGCAGAGCATGCCCACTCCATGACTCCATTCATCAGTTCAGTTATCAGCATGGAAGCTGAAAAAGGGACGGAGGCTTCCCCATCAATCGTCACAAGTGCCCAGATCGCATGACTGCAAGCTGTAACAGAAGCTGCCATCTCATCGTGTATGGCTCGCGGATTATTTCATTCAGATCTGGGGAGCACCACATGTATACATGCATACTTTGGTGGTGTATGTTCAGTCGTTGCCATCCATATCTTCTGCCACGTGTGCTATAATCGAGCACTGAAGCACAGAAATGCATGGCCATGGCTATATATTTGGACTACACTATACCTCATATCTAAACGCACGCAACTTTGCATACATTTATAAGTAAGTAATGGAACGGTAAAGGTGAGCACCCTCGAGTAGGTACAGTTATTCCTCTTGATGTTAGCTGCACTTTGAGGATTCCCAGCTTGAATTCTGGCACTGGACTGATATATAACTGAAAAACTGTTGAATCAATCACGCGGGCCATCAAATGACTGGGATTTCCTCAAGTTCCAGTGGAGGCCCTCATGGATGCTGCGGAGGAAATCGGTGGTCGAGTCCACAAGGCAGGCTGTGGGCACAGGCCAAGGGGAAATGCTGCAGATCAGGGCGTCACCGGGCGATAGCTGCTGTCGATCTTTGCCATCGAACGATGCCCAGGCATTCCCCCTGCTGTTGTACGGCACTTGAACGCGGAGAGTCACGTATTCAGGCAGAATCAAAGGTCTGAATGACAAGGAATGCGGACAGATTGGGGTGAAAAGGATCCCTGGGACCTGCAAAGTCCAGCTAGACATTAGAAACCACGGCGAAATGGCAGGATGGACAAGTAATGCTGAGCCCCCACTGGAAGAAGATTTGTGTAACAATCCAAACACGAAGACTGAAATTGGCCAATTAACGCCATATAAATCAATTGGGGGCCATACCTGAGGATGAACCATGGACCCTCCAGCTGCTAATGAATATGCTGTACTTCCAGATGTGGTTGATATGATTAGTCCATCTCCTTGTACACAAGTAACAAAAGAACTGTCACAGTACACTTCCAGGTTGGTAAGGTAAGATGATATTCCTCGGTCAATTGTAACTTCGTTTAACACTAAGAATGGCTCCTCAGTCACGATTTCATCCTTTGCCGCGTCACGTATTACATGACACTGTATTCGGTTTCTCAGCGTGATGCTAAATGGCCCGTTCAGCACATTGTCCAACAACTCACGGTATTGCTCGCTTGCTGAAAAAAAAATGTTAAGGACAACACAATAGATAAAAACAGGACTGTCAATTGGATAGAAGAAAGCTTCACATGCAATTTATTGTCCAACAGAAATAGGTTTTCCGAGATCCAGTAAAATCCAGCTGTTCTAGGTTATTATTGCATAGAGCGTGTTAGCACTGGTGGTAAAGGATACGGAAAGGCGTCATAAAGCCCAGTGATCCCAGGGCAAATGCAACAACTGGAGGAACTGGTCCTTTGAACAACGATGCAGCCTGTTAAGAGGGATCCAGAAAAATTCTAGTTTCAGTTGGAGAGCAGTTGAGTAAAATAAAACTAAGTGAAAGTACAAGTCCAAATAAACATACGAGAATATTATCAGAATAAGCATAGACACTCAAGCTGTCCAGCAGTTGGCAGGCAGGCAACATGCAAAATACTAACATTAAATAAAACATCTAAAATATGGAACAGGTAAGCTACTAAGGTGGTTCCCACAGTGAATTGTATTAGTACTCTTCACTTTATTATTGAAAATTCACCTGAATAATAACTGCCATCTTCCATAGAAAAGCAAGACTACCATAAATTTGGCTTGGACAGCACATTGTCATGACCATTCCTGGAGGGATCTACAGACCTTCGATTTCGGATGTTATGTTACCACGTAAACTATATGCATTGTCCAAAAATGGGAGTTTCTGTGAAATAGTTTATCGTCCAAATGTTCGGATCAGATCAAAGTTTAGCTGGTTGAGGCAAAGCCAGTCAACTGACTCCAAGGTCCATGTGATCCTCCTAAGGCTCCGCATATTCAAAAAATCATCACAGGAGTAATAATTTGTTTTTGAATCTTAAAAAGTATGTAGGATGAAGCTCCACACTGACATGACAAGGGAACAAACAGGAACCTCAGAAACTGAAGGTATCACTATATCAAAATAGATTAAAAAAAAGCTTCAAAGTCCAGATAACATTTTGCAAGGGTGCATCACAATTGAAATATAAAAGAAAATGGATGCGTACCCACAGAACAGTTCCATCACCGCCAAGAGTTACAATTAGATCAACCTTCGTATGCAGCATCTTTATCTCCTCATCTATAAGAGTTGGCCAGAACACGGGAAGTGATATGTCAATAGAATGATTGTAGGAACAATCTAGATAGATCTAAAACATGACAATACAAATGTAGAAGATGAAGAATGTTGATGAATAAAAAACTACAGTGGAAAAGTATGTTTTTATGCTAAATGTATTAAGTTTTTTTGAAAACATTAAATGTAGTACTACTAAGGTTTACAACTGTAAGACAGCTGCTGCTGCTGCACATGCACGACTCAAACAAGTTCTGCATCATTCATAGTGATACAAACACAGCTTAATACTGTGCTCAGTGACCAACCCAGGTTCATTTCCTCCATATTTCATAAATATGTTGGAGGGGGGCAATCTCTCCTTCAATCTGTCTTTTTTTTACCGTGCACAGTTTAGGCCAAAGAATGTGTTACTAAAAAGACAGCATTGTGGTCTGACCAGTAAGGTTGGATTTGAGAACATCAGCATCCATAAACTCTCCACAATAGTAATATGCATTGCAAATTACATGGGTAAATTGGATAACAGAACATCAACATACAAATAGCAAGACGAGGCAGAAACTTCATATAACCTGAGCAGCGCTTAGAGTCTTTCAAAAGCATGTATAAGCTATCCATAAACACTCTCCAAATTACTATACCTTATTAATTAATTTATTCAATTCCCATCACAAAAAGGAAAAATATCTTCTTGAGTAATCTATGTCCTGAACTGCTAATCTGGAGCACATGGAAGAAGCGCATCACATAAGTTAAACCTCTTACCATCATCCCATGTTTGGACGAAGTTGTAGTAGGAATCCCCTGTTAGAAGTTCCTTTTTAACACGTGGTTCAACAAAGATGTTTGTATTTTTATGCTCCCTAAGCCATCTGCGGAAAAATAATTCAAAACCTTTCAATGGCGTGAGCACAATATACAGGCTACCTGTGCAGTAGCATATAACCCATGTAAGTTGTGATTCATCAGGAACAAAAACATATCAAGGGTGTTGATTTCTAAAAATATTGAATTATGTCATTTAAGACAATTTGGTTTTCATATGGTACAGTGTGACAGAATTTGTAACTCAGAATTATGGAAAAATTACTAAGTATATTAATGGATAAGTAGTGGTGATGCAAAGTAGGGAAGAGAACACACCTGACCATTTCAGCACAAAGAACACGCACAGAGTTGGAATTCGGTTTGGTAATGAAAAGCACTGTTTGTGGTGGTGATTCCCATTTCAGTAAGATCTGAAAGCGAAGTATTTGTCATCATTGGAAGAGAGAGGAGCAAAAGTGTGACAATTGTTTGGTAAAAATTTCTAGAACTATCTGCCATTCCAAAATGAATTGAACAGGACAAATGGACCAACCTGCTTATTGCTCCTTTCTGCGGTTGTTATATCACCTTTTTCAAAGGACACAAAATCATGCTTATGCTGACCATTTTTTATCCCCATTACATCCCCATGAAAGTTTAAATGATGCCTTTCTCCCCACCACCTTGTGATTAGATCTTGGGATAGCTCCAGGAACTTCGTCCTGCAGAACCTCGTGTGCACATATACCATGCTTACCGCAACATCCTAATTGATCAGGTGCAGGTGTCTCCAGAGTCAGTTGGCTGGCCAGTTTGTCCAAGTCATTACTGATACAACTGTTGTAGCCTGCACAAGATAGAACTCGAGTTGCTCAAGAGAAACAAATAGTATATATGCAAAGCACAATATTATAGTATTCCACAATGTAATACGTGTGTCTAATTTTGGGATCCATCCGATGATGCTATGATAACCCCCACACCCTCAAGTCACAATTGAACATTGCAGGGGCCAGAGTCTAAAATTTGCTAAACCAACCATACCCCTTGCCGGATGGGCCTACGCATGTGTAGCAACCTGCTTGGAATTTTGTGGTTGCTTCACCAACTAAACCATCAAATGGAAAACATAGATAGCAACTTGAAGCAATAGCTCTTTCATTCCTATCTTAATTGAAAGGCAGAGCTCCTACCCAAGTTTTCAAACAAAAAACTTGAAGCAATAGTTAATGGATCGCTCAAGTTATGAGATTGTTTCACTAGAAGTAAAATCATCAATAGCAAATGCACAAATCTCACCTTTGATTTTACTCTGCTGCTTGTGCGCTGTCTCTAGTTCATACTTACGTTTCCACTCTGCTGCCTCTGCTTGAGCAGCAGCCTTCCCTTCAGCCACTCGTCGTAAGGCTTTTGCAACAGCTTCAAATTCACAGAAATTTATACCAATTATTATTTTAATAGTAAATGGAAGGTTCTACATATGTTTGTACTTTTGTAGTACATTTTAGGCTTCAGTCAAAGTAGAAATTATGTCCATCCTTACTTCTCATAGCTTCTGAAAACTCAACAAGGTGTGCATCAGTTGACCTGACAGGAGTTTGAGCAAGAAATTCATATGCTGCCTTCTCTGATTCTAGTGAAACAGCAGAACTAGCTGTAGAGATGGATCCATTTTCACTTTGATGTGAGGCCACGATATCTACATTTACTCTCTCATCAGAAACCTAAAATACAAGCAGGTGTGTCAGTGTGAATGTAAAACAATGGGACATCTGACGACTGTTTAAAAAAATAAACTCAACTGCCTCCAGAAATAAATGTATCCAGTCGTATAAGATTGCAATGACATATTTAGCTTAGTTTCAATTCACAGATAAGGCGTTGAGAGGTTTTCAGATAAATTCAGATTTAGACTCACCAAACTTTTGAACTCCATAACCAATACCCAATAAAATGCTGATCTATTTATTTAACTCAGAGCTTAAATAGGCTCAAACTGCAAAATGATGCAATGTTAAACTTGGAATATGTTAGCCTCGTATTTTCATGTGCATGACTCGGATTTGCAATCAGTGTGACTTTCTAGCTGAAATCGAATCACAAATTCAAGTTTCACATACTATGAAAATGCCTGTACTAAATACGTTTTTAAACAAATACACTAAAAACAACGGAATCAATCTTTTCCCCACAAAATGGGGAAAGGAGGTGGTCAAGCCCATTGGCATTTCTGGTCCAGGAACTCCCCAACCTTGCAAGATAAGCTAGTTACTTAAAAACACTTGTACGACAAAAACAGACGTAAAACTCAAGGACACTCCAGCTAGTTAATTGGCCCGCCCTTACTACGCAATCGCACGACGAAGAACAGAGCTACGAGCGAGACGAACTCAAAGCGGGCACACATTCCTTTGGGCCATCTATACATGTCTGCACGTACCGAGTCGAGCAATGATCTGATGCTCGGAGGAGCTGGGATCGGAATCGGCGCAGGGCTCAGGCCCCGGAACTTGGAATCGGACGGCGCGAGCTGAACTTCCTCGGAGGACGACGGCTCCTGCCACACGGAAACCACGCATTCATCAGAACCAGCTAGACCAAACACTCCGTCGAAGCAAATTGGGCGGAAATCGGACGCCCAGCCGCCCGAACCGCCACCAGGAGTCGCCCCAGCGCAGCTAGCGCGGACGGATCGGGAGGAGCCGGCGTACCTTGTCGGCGAGCTCGTCGAGCGACATGGCGCCGCGATCCGGTCCGCTTCGCGTCCTCGCCGTCGCAGAAAACACACCCCGTACTACTTGTTCTGCTCTTGGCTCCCGGTCCCGAGGCTTGGGTGGGCAGTGTACTTGGCCTCCGATTCGCGAGGTGGAGAGAGAAAGAGAAGAAGAGGTGGGTGGTGGACCGGTGGCCGGTGGGTGTGGTGCGAGGCGACGACGCCGAAGCCGGTGACCCTGTGAGGAGCGCCACCTCTCCCCGCCCGGCGCGGCTATTTATCGGCTTCTGGTTTGACGCCGACGGGCGCTTGCCGGTGGGGCCTAGCTGCAGTGGGACGGTCGGCTTCCGGCTGACGCGTGCCGGGAAGGGAGCGGCATGGCGTGTGGAGCCTTCGTGGTTGCTGCCGGGGTCCACCACGCTTCTCATTTCTTTTCCCTGATTTGGGAATTATTAAATTAATCGAATTATACCCCCAACTTTTGGGGAGACAATGGGAGTATCCGTTGAAAGAAACTTTACACGGTGCATGTGCACCTGTGTGTACTCGTGCGAAGTCTGCAGCCTAATTTCAAGCAATTTCTTTTGAATTCCTTTTTTATATGAATATATCATGTATGAATTGATTTTTTTTAATTCAGTGTAAGGTCCAAAAAATCGATGCTTATACTGTGACCACCAAACTTGTACGACAGTAAATCAATCTCTTTTCCCTTGGTTCCGATGTGATATTGAAGCCTTGAAGGTGCCCTAGAACCTAAGGTGGATCTTATTTCTGCTTGTTTTTAAAATAGTGTTGAATAAACGTGGTACAGAGTTTGGTTTTCTCGTAAAAACATCTCTCCATAGCAATTTTAGACGAGGAGAACATCAACTAGAAGACAAGTTGTTGGGGGAAATCTTATACCAAACGATGTCTTCTTTACCTCGTACTTCAATCCATGGATTAATACCATACGTGCAATTAGATCTTGTCTGGAATGATAGGTACGCCACCCCAAGTCCATAGAATTGCCACATTTCAAACATGACAAAGCAATCTCTTAGACTTCAGTTGTGAAGCTTTCTTTTTTGGCTAAGATTTGTTAAGCTTATAAGCTGAGTTAACTTGAACAAGTTCACGGATGCCAGAGACAAACAGCCAGGAGTTTTATCTCTTGATGAGATGAGATGATTACTTGCATGCAAGACTTGTTGGATTGACAATTCTAGTCTTTTGCTACCTACATTGCGGCTAAACGCAATATTCCTACCCCCAGTGACGTGTACTACTCCCCACCACATGTAAATAAAAAGAAAAGACGCTTGGTTTTACCAGGCGCCACTGAAAACCCCCTGTGCCCTTTTTCGGCCAATGAAATGAAACAGTCAAAGCAAAAGGCAAAAGGGAAAAGGCACGTTGAAAGGTACGGTCTTGGTCATCGGCTACCTCTAGCTCGGTTGTGGTTGGTGGATGAATGGTGACGGTGGTGAGAACAAAATCTCTTTGCCGATTGCAATGAGACTTTCAGTTGGGATTCTTCCTCTGTTCTCGACACAAACACGACACACGGCTTTGGCTTTTCAGCCATATTCACTTTGAGCATCACTCCAATAGGCAAAAGCGTGTGTCCACTCTGCATTTTTGGAAGCACAGGGGCCTGCTGCTCTCCTCTGCTTGCGTTGCGGCTGCTAGCTGTATCTGCTTCTTATTCTTGCCATGCCAGCCATGGTCGTTAGCTCGTCATCAGCCAATACCTAGTATGTCTCTCTTCGGAATACATCGTCATATTCCGAGGAAACTTTGGAACGAATCACAGTACCACTACCACAGACCACACCGCCAGAAACGGGACGGAGAATAGGAGGTGGCGCGGGTCGTGCAGGCACGGCTCTGACTTTTTCTCGGCCACCTCACCATCGGGCAGCGGCGGCCGTCCGACTCCTTTCTCGGCAGCGAGCGCGGAAACGCGTCAGAGCGCATGTCAGCTACCGCGCTGCGTCCGGTCCCGGTCCGCCGATGGAGAGCGTCAAAGTCAGCGGCAGCGGGCAGCAGGCGGGGGGATCGGAGTGGGAGAAGCTGGCGCATGGCGCTGCTGGCCGACGCCGTCCACCGGTCCACGCGGCCATCATTGCGCCGCGCGCACTGGTGACCGGAGTACCGGACACCCGAGGCGCGCGATCCGACGACACGAGTAGAAGGGACACGATCACACGACACGAACACAGATCTCGCGGACGCGGCGACGGCTGACTCGTTAAAATTTGCAAACCTACTTTTTATCGAAAGAATAGTATTTTTCTCTCACACCAAATTAGCATAAGCTAAATTTTAGCGAAACGAGCACATGATCGTACTAGTGGAGTAGTGTGGTTATGGTCTACTACTATGTAAAATGTTGGGTATGAGAGATAGAACCACGGAGCAACGTAACTAACAGATCAACGGGAACGGGCCCAGCGTTGCCATCAGGCGCGAGCTGTATCTAAAACGTTTGTGCTCGCACATCATCTCCTCCGAATAAAAGTCCAAGCCAACCAAGTGACGTGAGTGAGCTATCTAAAACGTCATCCGTACCGATAGTGACACGGACCGTTGGTGACAACTGGTGACAAATCGCGCCTCGCAGGTAGTGGCCCTGTTCGCTCGTCTCATGAACTATACTATTTTGAAAAGAATAGTATTTTTTTCATAATAAATCAGTGAATAGTATTTTCAGCCATGGTTTTTCAACAAAGCGAACAGAGTCGGTGTCTGCGCGGCTGATTGAGCCAAGATTTATAAGCATCTATATACTCTCTTCGATCCAAATCCTACTCCGTAAAAATAGTCCGGGTCAGAAAAGTACAAAATAATTCATATAGCTCTAATAAATTAAAGATATTTATTCAAGCCTGGTAAGGTATTCATAAGCAAGCGAAAACACACATGACATTAGTTTCAACAAAATTATGATTTAGTTGGCGGTTGCTAATGGAAGTACTGTACAAGCGTAAATTCGAGAATTTGTACACAGATCATGTTTTTGTGCTTCTCTGTTCCGACAGGCATAATAGAAAGCTCAACAATTAATACATCTCATTTTTTCTAAACATTTCAAGTAAGGAAGAATTTAAGTTTGAGAATCATTCTGAGCTTGTTAAATCAATATGATCAAAACTGAGAAAGCTTAACCATCTTGCATTCTCCTCGTCTGCTCAGTCACATCAAACATCAAGTCGTCCAACAATCACGGGATGAGACAGATCTAGGGCTAGGTATTTAGTGTTCTTTTTTTTTTTGCGTGTGAGTTGGGGGGAGGGATGTTGTGGGCGTGTATGGTGTAATTTAAAAAAACAGAGTGTCTTACATGCAAAAGTAAGAAACTTGGGTATTTCACCTCCGCTTTGTACCCTTGGTCAGCGTACGTCAGCTTTACGTACCATCAACGAGTAATCATATAAAATAAGACATAGTGACTTAGAGGAGTAGCACATGGGACACCATAATTTATACTGGTTCATGTGAAGTGCCCTGGGCACTCGGTTAGAAAGTCTACATTACTTGTGCACTGAGCACTTGGTTAGATGTCGACTAGGGGGATGTGATGCAAGTGTGAGAGTGGAAGTTGTATGCGTAGTGTGTTGCAATGGCTCCACGCGAGTGCTCCCCACCCTGCCTTACATAGCCTAGGGTGAGGTTACATGCAGTCAGTTTGATGATAGTCAACAATACTATTTTGCTCTACAGTGCACAATCATACCCAACTAGCTATTGTATCTATAATTCTTGTGTCATATTCTATACCAACTCTGCAATGCAATCAACTATTCCACCAATTCTATTTGTCATACCATCTCCAAAAAGTTTAGCCTGCCCCGGTCACTTTGCAAGCACAGGACTACTACGACATGTGTCTTCTCTTACGTCTGTTCAGAATGCATCATTTTCTTGGGGAACTTTGGAATGAATGCATGCATCACGCACTAGAACGAATATTCGTAACTGTCTTGTTCCATTATATTTATGGATACATCTTTAAGCTTTTGGTCCATACCATTTTTAGCCCAAAGGTAATGTGCTACTAGACTCACAAGCCACTAAACTCTGAAACATGAGTAAAATTCATACTACATTGATACAGGTTTTACATGCATGTGTAGCTAAAAAAAAGAATTCCGACCCATGAGTCAGGGGGTGTTGGGAACTGTCCCACAAACTCTACTGTGGAGCAGCTCTAAAAACAAATCTGGAGTTTGTGGAGCATCCCTTTAGGCGCTCTCACAACTCCACCCTTTTTTCTCGAACAAAGCGTGCGAAACTGAAACCGTTTAGCTAAAAATACGTGGAGCGAAGTTGAAAAATGTGGAGCGAAACCGTCCTTAGAAACCCTTAGCATAGCAAATGGATACAACCGTAAACTCCGCTGATAGTGATATGGACATCAAACTACACTAGCCGGTGGGGGCAGGTAGCCGGTAGACTCGCACCCGCACCCGTCGATTCATAAAACGATTGGCATGCTGATGCAGGAAGCCGGCGATCAAACGTGAATGTGATGCTGATTGTGCAGTCACGAGAACAGCCTATGGGGTTGCGTGTTCCGTCGCTACAAGTGAAGAGATCACGGAAAGATTCGTGAATCGTGATAGAGAGATCTCCAAGAGCTGTAGTAACGAACGTACATGTACATCCATCTGCTCCTCGCCTGGCCCTGGCTCTCTTCTCCAATCCGGCTGATGCTGAGGCTTACTGAAACATCTGATACAGCGCCACATTGACAGTGACATTCAGATGCAGTATCTGCTGAGTAGAATAAGCACAGCGAGCAAAGAGGTCCAGGCAGCGGCTGCTAGTTCTTCCTTGTTGGATTCGGTGGTGGTTGGCTGGCTAGTCACAACCTCAGCTAGGTTCTGAACGTGCATGTGTGTTTTGGAGATCTGGACTTCATCGTCACGACGGACGTAGAGTTGGCGATGGCTCCCGCCGGTCTCGACGCAATCGCCGAGGCGCTTGAGGAGCTGCAGCTGCACGCACCGAAGGCCCGCGCCTCCAGAAGCAACCGGC